ATTATAAAACATGAATGCAGCATGTTGATAAAGTAATTTATCAATAAATGTTGTGACGTGAATAAAAACTAAGATGAACTGTAAAAAAAAAGAAAACAAAAGGCAGTAAAAGGGGCTCTGAGCTGCCTCATAAGGTGCTGTTTTCCATAAAAAGATGAGCAGGAAGATTTCTCTTAATGAGCTGTTAACAGAAGAAAATTAGTTCAAGACTTCAGGGCAAGAACTTCCCTTATTCCAGGTTTGTACAGTATGGAGTATAAGGAGATTTTTCTTCCTGCTGGTACTTGGTGCTACTGGCAGTTCATAAACCAGGTTCTACGTTCACCAGCAGGAATTAATGAACCAAGTAAGAACAAGAGACAAGACAACCCAAGGAGAACTCCAAGGGAGAAAAGGCAGAGTGAGGGAAAAGGGGCTGTGAAACACAGAGCTGAAGAAAGCACCTCGGGAAGCAGTGAGAGTGTGAGAGCTGGGGAGATGCAGACACCGCAGGAGACAAGGAGCTCCCAGCTCCAGGGAAGGCGGAATTTTGGCCGGCACGTCCGGGCTGGCCCAGCCCCAAGGAGCCGAGCACGCCGAGCTCTGAGCACAGGTCACCTCAGCACTGCTCCTCACTGAAGTGTTCATTCAGCTGGGCACTGAGTGCAAGCAGCTGGAAAGGAAATAAAGGTGGATTCCTGCAGGACAGAGGCACGGGGAGAGCAGCACAGCCTCAGCACTCAGGACTGGCTGCACCTCGGTGGCAGGAAGGGGCAGGGGCTGAGCCGATTTCCCAAGCAGGGGCAGCAGCCCTGTCATTTCACAAGCTGAACAGCATCTCGTTACTCATTAGTGACTGCAGAGAAGGAACCATCCTGCCAGAGGAGAGTAACTGCCACACAAGTTCTTTCATCTTGAGTTTTGCAATTCTATGAACTTGATTGCTTATTTTCTTAGTTTAACACAGTTAGCAAGATATTTTACATACATCTAACCCTGCTCTAGCTAAATGTAATCTGTTAAAGTTTCTTGACTCGCTTCCAGACACTCCCTCTTCATCCTACAGCCTCTCCATCTCCCCACAGCTCGGGTGTTCTGTTCTCCCAGTTCTGAGAAGGTGACACCAACCTCATTTCGGTTTTGGTACACACTCTGACGTAGACACTGAAGGTGAAAGAGGACAGAGAGTCTTGGTGACCTCAAAGCCCACCCAGTGCCACCCCTGCCACAGGCAGGGACACCTCCCACTGTCCCAGGCTGCTCCAAGCCCCAGTGTCCAGCCTGGCCTTGGGCACTGCCAGGGATCCAGGGGCAGCCAGAGCTGCTCTGGGCACCTGTGCCAGGGCTGCCCACCCTCCCAGGGAAGGATTCCTTCTGTGGATTGAATTTAAACTGAAGTTAAGGTATCTCATCTCAAATTTAGTTATTTCTGAGCCTGTGCTGAAGATAACTGTGACAGAGTAGCAAGAGAAAGGAAATAGGCCTGTAGAACAAACCACAGGTGAGTAACAAACTGAAATTATGTGGCCAAGAACAATTATTGCTACAGAAAAGAAACCTCAGTCACCAAAAACTCCAGACTATTCCTAAGGCCTCACGCAGGGGGACTCCAAACACGACACTGCAACTCCCACTCCTCCCAGCCCAGCACACACATCGCTGTGGCCTCCTGGAAGCTGCTCAAGGTCTCTCCACGTCCCCAAATCTCCCCACTGCAGATGTGCTGCTCTCCTGGCTCAGCTCTCCAGACTCAACTCTCAGTATTTCCACCCTCAACGCTGCGAATTTCTGATGATCTGGAGCGAAGAGTAAGAGCAGTGATGATGACAGAACTCCCAAACCGAGAGGATGAGCAGGAAGAGGGGGGAGGGAGGCATCAGAACAGTCACAGGGCAGCTTTGGCACCTGTCCTAAGCACTGGAAATGCAGTGAGGGACACGATGACAGCAGTTCCAGCATCACCTGGTCACAGAGTCCCTGGTGCCAGGCAGAAGATGCCAAGGGCTGCTGGCTCAGTCATGTATGTCCTTAGTCACATCCGACACGGGAGCACCCACGCTGGAAAACACCGGGGCAGCACACACCCACCGGCAGCCACGGGAGCAGCTGGTGGCAAATGCCACCCTGCCATGGGCCAGCTGCAACCTCAGGACAGATTTCTGCTGCAGCTCTCTATCTACAAGGCCCCCAGGAAGCAAAGTCCATGGTTTGTGCAGACAGAAATGAGGCATCTTCTCATTAAAGAACTGGGTCATAACCCTGCAAAAGCATCTGCACATTCCAGCTTCCTAAAAAAACCATCCTAAAAATCCAAGCCATATTTCACTGGGGTTTTATCGTGGTTTATCAAGTCCAGGTCACTAGAACTGGCAAGAATACAAAACACATAAATATGAATTATTTTTCTGGGTTGCTGTGTGGCTTCTCACACAAAAACTGACCCCAGGGGCTCAGTCTCACTCGCTCAGTGTTTGAGACAAGGAGAAAAGTCATAAAACAAGAAATGCAGATGTGTTCAGAGGAAATATCAGGGACCTGAGACAGCTTTTGAGATCAGAGTTGAAATCCACTCTTTTCCTTCATTGCTGTTAAACTGCACTGGAATCCTGGGGGTACTTTTGGGTGCCACAATATAAAAAAGATAAAAAGCTGATAGCATCCGAAGAAGGGACATGGGGAAGGATGTGGAAGAACCACAAAGGAACTGCTGAGGGCACTGGGATTGTTCTGCTGGACAAGAGGAGACTGAAGTCAGAGCTCATCGAGGGCTACAGCTCCAATCTCTGCTCTTGGGACAGGGACAGGAGCCAGGGAAGGGCTGGAGCTGGGCCAGGGCAGGTCAGGGTGGATTTTGGGAAAGGTTCTTCCCCAGAGGGTGCTGGCACTGCCCAGATCCCCAGGGAATGAACGGGACACTGCTCCCAGGGATGGCCAGGGTGGGATTCTGGGGCTGAGCTGGGCTGGATGATCCATTCCTGCTCAGGATATTCCAGGATTGTCTCACTCCTGAACACAGGAGAGTCTGCTCTCACACAGAGCTGCAAACACACTGTGCAGGAGGCAACAAGTGCCAAAAATCAACTTTGAGACACTAATAAAGCAAAGATATTAATAATGCCAAATGAGAAATTTTCCCTTTTGCTCCTGACTTGCCCCAGTCCAGCCACTGAGTAACTCCAGAGTGACACAGGGACTGTCCCACACCTCCAGGCCTGGAGTTTAATCATGTTTTCCTCATTGGAGGAGCCATGAAACGACCAATCAGGTGCACAAGCTCTCCTGCAAAGCACTTCACTAGACCCTGTTTTGCAATAACCCCCCAGGCTGCAAATCCCCAAGTGCCAGGGACCTGAGAGAAGAATTCAGTAGTTTTAAAGGAACGCCAGGAGCTAGAAACACACCTGAGAGATCAGCAGCTGGAAGAGAGCCCAGGTGACAAATAAACACAGAGAGCAGAGCAGAACCAGCTCAGGGACACTGAGGCAGGGCCTGCTCAGTGCCACAGGGGCAGGGGAGGCCTGGCTGGAAACACGGGGGTGTTTAAAACCACTAATATTCCTGAGAAAATTATCAAACAAGGCTGTGGCAAGGTGAGAGATGAGCTGGGGGCACAGCAGGCCCCACACCTGCCCCTTTTCAGGCTCCTTTTCCATTGTGCAGCACCTGCTGGGTTGTGAGTGAGGTCTGGGCACTCAGCTCTGCCCCAAAATTCACTGGAGAGCCACAGGCACGGCACTGAACGCAGCGATGCTGAGCTACACACCTCAATGCCTCCTCGCTTTGTTTCGTTCATGGGAAAAGAGAAAAAAGGGGGAAAGTCAGCACGGAGCGCAGGAACGCTGAGCGACCGCTCTTCTGCAGAGCCCAGCGCGATCCCACCGGGAGGAGGCTGTACAGAACAGCCCCCGCGGGCTCCGGTGTCCCGGCCCCGGTGTCCCGGCCCCGGTGTCCCAGCTCGTCCCGGCTCTGCCCTCCGACCTCCGGCAGCCGCTGCCCAGGCCGCTTCCCCGAGCGGCACCGGCCGGGCCCGGAGCGGGCGCGGAGAGGGAGGGGAAGGAACAAAGCGCCGACGTCAATTACCGGAACGGGATTCAACCCATCACCGGGGCGGGCCCGGCGGCCCCGAGCGCCGGTACCGGGAATGCCCCGGCCGCGCCTCCCGGGAGGGACCCCCGCCCTCCGCACGGTATCACCGCGGGATAACCCGCGCTTCCCGGCGGGAGAAGCGCCCGCACGGCCGGTCCGGCCCCGGGCCCGCCGGTTCCGCCGAGATGTCCCGGGGGCGCCCGGGGCGGGCCCGCTGCCGGCGGGAGGCCCGGCCCGGCCGCGCTCACCTGCGCTGGCCGCTCCGCTAGGCCCGGACCATCTCCTGGCTGCCGCCGCCGGCGAACGATGAGGCCCGAGGAGCGCCGGGGGGCGCGGGGCGGGCCCGGGGTGGGGGGGGAGCGGCTCACAAGCGGGCGGCCGCTCCGCAGGGGTCCCGGCGGTCCATGGCGGGCCGGCGGCGGGCTGGCGGCTGGCAGGCCTGGCCGGGGCTGCGCTGGGCCCGGTCCCGGTGCCGATCCCGATCCCGGCCCGGTCCCGCCTGGCGCTTCCCGGCGGCCCCCGCGCGCCGCCGCCGCCCCGATCACGTGACGCGCGCGGGGCGGAACCCCACGTGACCCCTCCCCGGCGGAGCGCGCCCGCGCGCGCGTAGGGGGCGTGGCCAGAGCCCGGCCCCGCCTCCCCGCGCGCGGCGGCGCGGGAGTCACGTGGGGCGGCGCGCGGGGAGCGCCACCGCGGCTGAGGCGCCCCCTGGCGGCGGCGGCTGGAACGGCAGAGACCGGGAGAGACCGGGACAGACCGGGAGGGACCGGGAGAGAGCGGGAGAGAGCGGGAGAGGCCGGGAGGGACCGGGACGGACCGGGAGGGACCGGGAGAGGCCGGGAGGGACCGGGACGGACCGGGAGGGACCGGGAGAGAGCGGGACGGACCGGGAGAGAGCGGGAGGGACCGGGAGGGACCGGGACGGACCGGGAGGGACCGGGAGAGCTCGGGCGCAGGGCTCGCAGCACCCGGGACAGTGCGAGGGGTCCCTGCCGTGGCAGGGGCGAGCCATGGAAATAATTGGGATTTAAAATCCACTTAAGGTCCATTCCAAGCCTGGTTTCCTGGGATTCTGTGCTGTTGTGGGGCCGAGGTTTGCAGCCCGGTGAACAAAGGCTGTGCAGCCCCAGCTGAGACAGGAGCCATTGTCCAGGGGCTGCTAAAGGCACGGTGGGACAAACAGACTCTCACAAGGCAAATCCATTCGCCGGTTGGTGAAGAACTCCTCCCTGGGCAAACAAGCGATGCCCAGAGGCACGGACTGAGCCGTGCCCTCCCAGCAGGGCACCCAAAGCGCTGCAGGTTGGGCTGATCCAGCCCTGCGCAGGAATGGCGCTCTGTCCCCCTGTCCTGCTCTCCCTCCGTTCTCCTCGGCAGGTCAGGGCTTTTCCCGAGGCTCTTTTCCTGCCAGGCTGCATCAGATGAGCAGTGGCAGCTTTGGAGTGGGATGGAGCCCCTGGAACCACTCCTGGGTAACTGGGTTTGTGGAAAATCCCTAATCCGCCAACAGAGCACAACTGAGGCAGCGGCAGATGTAGGAGGGCAACAACACCTAGAGACAAAGTAATCAGAAAAGGCAAGACAGTTAAAAAGAAAAAGCCAATACAAACATTGTATTTAAAACTAAACTTTTTTTTTTCTTTCTTTTAAACTTGGATACAGAGGGACTTCCGGCTGGAGAACTTCCTGGGGAGTAGCCCTGCCCCTGGAAAATAACAACACCTAGAGACAAAGAAACCAGAAAAGGCAAGAAGGTTAAAAACAAAATCAAAAAAACAATACAAACATTGTATTTGAAACTAAACTTTTTTTTCTTTTCCTTTAAAATTTGGATACAGAGGGACTTCTGGCTGGAGAACTTCCTGGGGAGCAACCCTGCCCCTCTCTGAGGGAATGCCAGGGCAACTCCAGCTGAAACCTGCACATAAACACCACAAATATTTTAGATATTTGCAGTAAGCCTCAACTTGGCAACTTGTGTTTAAGAATTTTTTCACTTTCCCATTAAATGGCACATTCACTCCACAAAACTTGAACACCTTTCTGGTAGTTTTATTTACAGCCTGCAGCGTGGTCTGTAAAACACAGGAGTGGTCACAAACAGACACACAACATGGGTATTTCCAAACATTTAAATAAGTACAGTTTATTCCAAAGTAAGTCTACACACTACTCTTTTCATAAAAATATAAAAAATAGTTTAGTTACTGTATTTTAACCTAAACCAAGATAACTTGAGAATTCTTCCACAAGTGATGCCCCCTCCCCAAAACGGCACTCCAACAGTAAGAAATTCAGGAGACTGCATCACCAAATAAAATACTAACAGCAACTGCTTCAATCCACCAGAAAACCAAGTAATTCCCACTCTGCATCCAGCAATCCCTGCTCTGCAGCGTGTTGGGATCTGCTTTTGTTGGGTTTGTGGGGTTTGCACTCACTTGGCAATCCTGCATTTCACACATTCCTTGGGAAACACTTTCCTCTGAGACCTTTACTTCAAGGAGTCTCGTACTTACTGAGCACCCAGTGGAGACTGTGCTGGCTGTCACAGAGGCAGTGCCCAGTTCTGTTTGTTATTATTTCTCTGCTTTTGCTGACCCTATTACAGATGGGAATATTCTGATGGAGTTCTGCAGAACACCCACTCCAGCCCTTGTCTCGCTGGGGTACGCTGAATTTACAAAAAAAAAAGGCACAAAGATGAACTCCTAAAGCAGCAGCAGCCCTGGTTTGCTGAGCTGCTGCTCTCCAACACCAGCCCTGTGTCTCAGCAAAGCCTCCAACAACCAGCCAAGGACAGGGGAGGGAAGAGCCCTGTGGGCAGGACAACAGGACACTGCTCAGGGACAAATCAACACAGCTCAGCTGGCTGCTGCAGTTCAGACTGGAGCTGGAAGCATCAGGAGAAGCCACTGGAACACAAGCTCAGCAGCACAGAACCCGTCTGTCACCAGCCCGATGGGAGGCTCTGCGTGGGACACGTTGTGCATTCCGGTTCAACAATGCCAGAGCTCCACAGCAGCACTGAAAAACTTCTGCTTTTAACACTTTAGAGGATTTTTCTCAATGGAAGTGAAGCTGTCATTAACAGAGGAACAGCACATGATGCACAGCATAATCTGCAACAAAAAGCTTTTGCTTTCCAGCATGTAAACATCCAGGTTACTGGACTTTAGCTCATATAAACAAATCTGATGATAGATTTTTTTTTTTTTCAGGAACTAAAAAAGTAAAATCTTCCATAAAAGGATAAACCACAAAAATACTCTCTCAGCAAGTCTCACGTGCCATTTAATACCTTCCATGTCCTATGAACAACTACGCAGAACACTTAGAAATGCTGAAATGGAGCATTTGGCAGCCGTGTGCTCCAGCCCCTGGGAGGGCAGAGTCCCTCGCTCCACACCAGTCCTGCACCTCCCCAGCTATTTCTTCTTCTTCTTCTTTGGGGGCTCGTCCTCAGAGCTGCTGTCTGTGCTGCTGCTGCTGCTGCTGCTGCTGGAGGAGCTGGAATCCGACTCGAAGTCGGAGGAGGAGCTGCTGGAGGACGGGGAGGAGGAGGAGGAGCTGCTGTCCTCACTGTCACTGTCCGAGGAGGAGGAGGAGGAGGAGGAGGAGGAGGAGGTAGAGGAGTCCTCGCTGTCGGAGGAGGAGTCGCTGGCTGAGCTGTCACTGCTGCTGCTGCTGGAGCTGGTCACACTCTTGGACCTGAGAGAGAACAAAGAGCTGAGCACAGCCCTGCCAGAGCCCATCACACTCAGAGCTCCCTCTGCTCTGTCCCCATCATCCAAAGATCAATTATCTCCCCTGAAAATTCCCACACCTCATCAGCAAAATCTCCAGGCCTCACCACCTAAGATGAATCCCTGTGCCCTCCCTCCCTTCTCCCCTCCTGGATGAGTGGATTTTGGCCGTTTGAGCCATGGCAGAGTGGCCCCAGGACACGCCACAGCCCAGCAGGACAGCAGGGAGGGAAAGCTGGCCAGGATCTCCTTCCCAGCCCTGAGCAGGGGCTTGGCTGGCCTGAACTCGCCAGGCTCAGCCCCTGCCCCACCTCTGCAGCAGGGAAATTCTGCCACTGCAGCAGCCAGGGGAGGTTTCAGCAGTGATTTCACCAAGGTCAGAGCTGTTCCCAGCAAAAACTGTTCTTGGATTACTCCTGGCAAAAGAACCCAAAGTACCTGTCACTACAGGATGTTTTCTAGGTGGAGGAGAAGGGTGGAAGCAATCCAAGATTAAGACAAAATGATGAACAGGGCAGAGAGGATTTCTGTATGCTCTGCATTTATTTTTCATGTTCAGCCCTTCCTGGGGCCACTGCTCTCAAGATCAATGTCTCTGATTTAGGGGGGTGATACAAATTCTAAGAAAGTAAAATTCAATTCTCTCTGAGATCTTTCCCTGAAGTACAAGACACTGATTCACCTCCCTTCCCACCAAAGTCAATCAAAGAGCATCCAAAACTGTAAATTATGATAATGCAGACTCTTGTTCCCATTAGAAAATTAATGTGCAGTATTTTTTATCAGAGGGTTTGGTTCAATGTAACAGCTCAGGAAGCGCCTGTGTTAAGGTTATTGAAGAGTGTGAGGTTTTTTCATCATATCAGCCCTGTCAGCTGACAAATGTGGATGTGGATTCAGCCACAAAGCACTGAAGTTTTTACAGTACATCTGTAATCTGCTGTCTCTGTGTGCAGACACAACAACTGTTCGTTACTGATAAATCCATAACGGCTGTTTAAACACTGACTTTTTTTGAGAAAAAAACAGCACTAAGATGAGGAAAATAAAAAATATGGGAGTAGTAGTTTCAATCTGAGCAATTCCATGAGATGGGCAGGAATGAGAGGATCCCCTGAGTAACTCTGAACTTGCTTTTCCTGATCACCTTTCACAGAATGCATAGCAGCAACCCATGGACATCCAGTGTTTAGGTTTATTCCAAAATTCACTCCCAGAAACATCAGGATGCTGCATTAAAGCTGCCTTTCCCAGAGGGAAGAGGCAGGAGGTTGTTCTCAGGAGAGGCAACATGTGGCTGCTGGTACTGCCAGCAGGAGGATGGAGATGGGACAGGTAAAACTCAAAATACAATTTAGGAGTGGGACAGTGCAGAGCCTGTAGGCTGGGAATCTAAGATCATGGGGCTTATCACACCTCTGGGAAAGCACAGAATTTTTACAGGAGGTATCATTCATCCTCCTCAGGACACGTTCCCAAGAGTTCATCTCTGGTTCTGTGCCCCTGTGAGGGCCAAGTGCAGTTGGAGCCCATCCTGGCATCCCCAGGCTGGCATCCTGCTCTGCTCTGACACCCAACCCACAACTGTGGGCACAGCCACAGCTGGGACCTGAGGAGGGCAGGGAAGGGGGCAGGGAACGGGGCAGGGAACGGGGCAGGGAACGGGGCAGGGAACGGGGCAGGGAATGGGCAGGGAACGGGGCAGGGAACGGGGCAGGGAATGGGGAAGGGAATGGGGAAGGGAATGGGGCAGGGAATGGGGCAGGGAATGGGGCAGGGAATGGGGCAGGGAAGGAGCAGGGAAGGAGCAGGGAAGGAGCAGGGAAGGAACAGGGAAGGAGCAGGGAAGGAACAGGGAAGGAGTAGGCAATTCAGGCATTCCAGGTGGGACACTGAGGCCAAGCAGCACCTGGAATTGGCTCTGTCCCTGAGGTCACAGGGCTCTGCAGCAGCTGCTCTACCTCAGCCTGTTTTTCTGGTTGGGCCTGAGCTCCATTATTAGTGTTTATATCAAAACAAACACACTTTCTGGAAAAGGTTCCTGCTCCTCCTGCCAGAAGCCAAACTTTTACAGCTTTATTTTAAATCTGGAACTTATAAATATGCTGGATTCTCCACATTTCATTCTTCCCATGTTGTAATAAAAATCTAAATAGCAAACTGATGGGAAAGGAATTTATATTGATGGATTATTCTGGGCTTGCATAGAAGCAGGAGAATAATTCAAATTTACAAGAGTTTTACAACTTCAAGGAAAAAGAGTCCAAACCACCCCCTCCCCATGAACCCTTTTGCTCTGTCCATTTTTGCACTGGTTTGGAGCTCAAATACTCTGTAAATAATTATGCCAGCAAAGGCTGCAGGGTCAGAGGAAGCTGAGGCAGGAAGAGGCCTGAGCTGCCCAGCTCAAAACCAGTTAATTCATGATCTCACCAGTCCAGCAATAAACTGGCACTTCTGGGAAAGCAGCCTTTGCTAGAACACACTGAGACAGCCCATTCCAATAAAGCACATTCCACAGAGCAGCCTGGGATAAAGAACACTTTAAAGATCTGCTCTGCCTTATTTACTGCCTGCCACACACAGCAAAGGCCTTTAAACACCTCCTGAAAACTGGGTTAGATCAGACTGAGGGACACACAAGTGACACTAAAGGGGAAGAGATGCTGGGCTGTTACTGCACAGACATTCCCTGGTGTAAAACTCCCATTCCAGGAATGTTACAGCCACAGTTCTGGCTGTTCCTCCTTTCCATCTGCTAAGAAAGCAAATTCCCAAGTAAACATTAATGCAAGGTAAAGCACAAACAATGTCAAAGGAGCTCCTGGCTCAAACAGAGCCAGGAGAGGGCCAGGGTCATTTTCTGGCTTTTGCTTTAGTTTGAGATCAAGGGGGGTTTGTTTGGTTTAGGGGTTGGGTTTTTTAAGATGTTTTATTTAATCCTTTAGACAAAGCTTGAGAGAGAGAGAATTGGCAAAGGGAATGAAGAGAGTAGAAGTCAGAGCAAGATGGGCAGGTAGAGCAATGAGAGACCAGAAACCCCTGTGC